CATAGAACAAAAATTAAAACAACAAAAATTATAAATAAAATAATAATAATAATAGAAATAATAATAATAATATAACTATTATTAATTATTAAATATATACATATCTAGGCCCATACATAGAACAAAAATTAAAACAACAAAAATTATAAATAAAATAATAATAATAATAATATAAATAATAATAATAATAATAACAGTGCTCGATTAATACTATAATAATGAATAATAATACTTTAATAATACTTTATTTCACCTTTTTACAATAGTTTGATCAATGAGATAAATCAGCATAATATTAAATCAACTTGCGTCTATGCAAAACCTTTTTTTTAATAAAAATCTCTACTTATTCTGTTTAAAAAAATTAATCTTATAAATTATAAGTTTATTTTCTATGATAATTTTATATATCCACATAATTCATGTTTTCAATGTTAGTATGGTTGATAAATAATATATAAAATAATAATATTAATAATTATAATAATAATAATAATAATAATGAAGGTGCTCGAATAATGCTTTAATAAAGAATTAATAACACTTCAATAATATGTCATTATGTCTATTTGCCATAATGGGATTAATGAGATATTTGTTGATTAATTTATAGAAATATATAATAGGTATTTACCATTAATAAATATTCAGCATATTAAATCAAGTTACGTCTATAGATGTAAATCTGTTTTTTTCTTCAATAAAATATGTTACCTATTTTATTCTGTTTTAAAAAATAATCTTATAAATTATATTATAAAGTTTCACTGTGAATTCTACGAGAGTTTAATCCACAGTTTATGTTTTCAATTAGTTAAGCATTTAAACAATTCAGTGGGCGTAACGCTGGATGTAAATGTAAAATAAAAGAAAAACAAAAGCACCGCCAAAGTGTTTCGTGTATGCGAATGCAAATACTATCGCGCGATTAAAGCGCATTTTTGGTAAGGAGAGCTCAGGAATATCCGTCGAAATACCGTATAAATAAACTGCAACTATGTAAATAACTTTCACAAGAACTTTACGAATATCTTAATTAATATAATCTTAATTAATATCTGAAATTAGTTAATTACTAATTAATTAATAGATTGATATAAACATTGTGACCTATAACTACAATTTATTAATATATTTTAATTAATAAATACAAGAATCCTCCAACGAATTTTTCAGGTCAGAAATTGGCATAAAAAAGTAGCAATTTTTTAGTCGCGCTCTTCGTATTTGTCCGTTCATGAAAATAGCGACGATGAACATATAATAATTAGTTTATAATTTTTAGTATAGTTATAATAATAATTATATATATATGTATATTATATATATAAATATATATATATAATCATAATTATATATATATATTATATATGTATATGTACATGTATATATATACATGTACATATATATATACATATATATACATACATATATATACAGATATATATACATAATATATGTATATATATATTTATATATATAGATTTATATATATTATATATACATATACATATATATATACACATGCATATACATATATATATATATATATACATATATGTATAGTAATAAAACGCATAAATCAAAAGTGTAGAGTAGCCGTAACTTTTAATGGTAAAAAACACAAACGTTTTCGGGCATCGCCCTTCATCAGGTGGTGTACATATATACATATATATATACATATATATACTATATAAACATATATATATAATATATATATATGTATATATATATACATATACACACATAGTAGCAATTACATATATACATATATATATACATATATATATACATATATATATATATACATTTACATATATATATACACATATATATACATATATATATATACATATATATGTA